TCCTCACTGCTCCCTGCCTCCTCCCGTGCACTAGGTGCCAAACCATGATAAAGCACACAGCCCTTTTCTTTTTACCTCTAAACGTGCTGTTATGTCTGAATAAAGCCATGAGGAACATTAAGGTGATAGTCACCCATCTCTGGATGTCAAAGTGCAGACACTTGAAAAGCTGCCTGGTGCCAGCTATGCTAATGTATCCTCTGACATAGACTGACATCGATGTCATGAACTTCGTGTCACTTCCACCTCCACATCTGAACTTGGGAGCAGGAAAAGAACAACTTTGAAGTGAAGAATAAAACGCTTCTCCAGAACTCATTTTCACTTATTTAACCACCTCTACTTAACGTCAACTTTTCTACCATTTTAGGAAAACCTGTGCATGACTTATTACCTATTTGAGTATTTTTAAATTCGTATGGAATTTAATTTGTCGGAGGCGCACGTGTGAACCCAACTGAACAGCAGGACCGCACAGATGTGCAACACAGTCTAGGGAGGAGAACGACTGTATGATCGCACATATGTCACAAAAGATGCTAACACAAGTGCAAAGAAAGGGAAAAAAAATCTTGTCACTGATAAGTGTGAAACCAATGTGTTTTAGTACATCTAAAAAGAACTAGGGGGGCCTTTTAATGGTTACACACTCATCTCTTCTGCACGCTAATTTCAACTGCTGTTTCCTCCCAATTAACAGAGTTTGTGGTGCAGAGGAGGCCTCTTGCCATTTACTCCACACATGGATCAACTTAGTTCTCTGACAAACTTTGCTACTTTTTACGAAAAAGTCACACAAAAATCAGTGCAAAAAAAACCCCCCAATCTATCGGAAAGTGTCCGTTGGTCAGTGGTCTTATGGCCGCCATCATTTATACATGCAGACTGAAGAAGCAGCATTTAGATGCTGGCACCCTGGGCAGAATGGTATAATTAGGTGAATTGACTGAAAGGGATGCGATGAATATCCCAGCACAGCGTCAGGTCAGCTATGCTCACAAATTAGAGCCAGGGGCCAAAATACGTACATATGGGTTTATCTCAAAGACGGAAGGCAGAGGAATAATTTTAGACCTTCTGAAGTTTGGCATATTTTTTATAATAAGTCACCGACTTCTAAACAGGGATGCTGGTAAATCTTAAGTCCATTTCTAACACTGTAAGGTCCTGAAAGTTTCTTGATTTTGCTAGGACCTTTAAATAGTATAAATGATTCCTAATAGACCTGGATTAGGGGTTTGTGGTGAGTGGTTATCGTGTAAGATGCCTTTTTGATTATCCTTTATCCTTTAAAGCTCATCTTCAAGGGATGACTTTGGTCTAAAGACACACACGAAGGACAGCAAATGTCTTTCAAAGTCAAAATGGGTCAAATTTACATTTCTTTAAAAAGCACTGTCAGGAGTGGGATTTGAACCCAAGACCAGAAGTTGCTTTCATAGGAAGTTGCAAGTCTTTCAGAGGAAAGTCACTTACAAACCATATTTAAGCAAAATTTAACAAATAAAGGTATCTGTTACATGAAATCTGATCTAGTCATATGGGTTGCCAGATATTGAAAACTGATAAAGCTCTGACCAAACTTCAGAAATGATACATATTTAACAAAACAAAGTCGACCTACAGAATACTGTACTGGGATCACCAGTCATTTATAGTCAAAGGCACAACAGACCCGATGGAGTTCAAACAAGTACCTATTTGTACATTTTAATCTTTTTTTGTCAAAAATACAACAACACTCTGCTGAAATCAATTTAACTCGCTACAATTTCCACAGGTGTGTTCTACACTGTCTGTTGGTAGAAAATTGACATCTGTTTTCACATTTTATTTAATCACTCCCTTCTCATATTTGACAAAAAATATAAATTAACGTTTCTAAGTGACATTTTGTAATCTTCATTTTCCAACTCATGCCGAGCCGTGCACCGATAAATATAAACACGACAATTATAACTCATGCAACAAACATCACCTGCCGTCTCTCAGTAGTGCACACAAACACAAACAAATGTACCTGAGGAGCATGTGGTGGTGAAAGTGGAAGCTAATTAAATGACAGACAACAACACACAGGGGAGGCATACTCTAGGAAGCCTATCACCAACTTCATCAGAGCAGCGGCAGCATGTAGCGCCAGGGCTTTAAAAAACCCTGTGTTGTCAATTTTTTTTTCATTTTTTTTTTCTCAACAAGTGCAACAATGTCAGGAAATCTATGTTAACTTCTGAGATGATAGTTGAACATGCAGCTTTTTACTCATAAACAGCGGCAGATCACAAACAAAAGCCTGGTTGAGAGTTAACTAAGCACATCAAAAAACAGCTACGATCAGCAAAAAGTAATGAGGTAAGACTGGCAAAAAAAAAAGAATTCAAAGTTAGATCTGAAATGTCTACCAGTTAGCTGCTAAACCTCAAACCCAATGTCTAATGGGCCCCAGTAAAGAAGCAGCATTCATATTTGGGTGGCATAACCAGGGCCGTATACATTTGTTTAACTGCCAAATCTGACCCCAGCACCAGATTTTGACTTGATAAACGTAAAAGGAACACAGATAGTTGAACAACGTACTTGAACATGTGATAATCTTATAGATGATATGTAGCTCCACATGGACCAGCATACAGAGGATACTAGTGGACTCACACAGCAGCTGAGTGTGACCTCTGACCTCTTTAATGCACACAACCTGAAAACAACAGCCAAAGATTCCGGAGTCTTCTGGAAGCCCCTCACCTTACCACATAAATCATTGCCGTTGCGGACACTGGATGCCTCTGCATTGTGATGCAAATAGTCTTTTGCACAAACATGAATAGAAATCCAACTACCTGTAAATTGCAGTGCTCTTCTCAGACGAAGAAAAAAAAAAAACAACAAACATCTGCATGACAAATGCAGACGTACACATGTTCGTTACCGTCTATTGTTGAATTCCCTACATTGAGCGGCAGCCCTATAGTTGAGCAGAAGGCGTAGAAGACGTGCTATTGCTCGTCGGCGTGGGCGACTTGTGAACCCCCATACTGTAAGTGTCCCATTAACAGTTCCTCTGGAAAATGGGCTGAGATTGAATCTCAAAAGCTTTTCCTTTTGTGTTTCTAATGTATGGAACTGTTGACAGCGTGGCTGTACGAGGCATCTGCATGAAATTAGGAAGTGGGAGAGACGGTTTGTGACTTCCTCGTCAGAATCTAAAGCACAAATCCAACTGTATGGGATGTGGAACGTAAACATTTTAACTCCACACAGGTTCGAGCAGAAGGCTGTGGTGTTGTTGCAACATTGAAATGAAGAGGCTGGAAGCGCCTCTATTGTGCAGCAGGCAGGCAGGCAGGCAGGCAGGCCTCTTATTGGTATAGGCAGAGCCCCTGCATGTCAAGCAGAGGTGGGGCACTGTCCCTAGAGTCCACTATCACAGCAGGTTAACCTGGCACTGCTTTTCTAAGGACTGATTGCCAGGCACCCCGCAGCTCGAGGTAAACCGACAATTTTCCATCAGCAGGGAAGGTAGCTTTATTAGTAAAAGTGGGGGAGGAGGCAGGGGGACGGAACACAACTAATAATATGGCACCGCAAAACCTTAAACACACATTTCATGGAGATGTTTCTCTGGAGAGATTTTACAAATAAACCTGAATGAGAGCCAACAGGTTAAAATTATACATTTGTTTATTATTGTGATTAATGGTGTTATTTCATTTTATTTTATTTATTTTATCATTTCTAAGGACATATTTATTCATAATACTATTCCAAGACCAAAGGCCAATTGTAGGAAAACAGGTGCAGCCATTTTCTTTAAATGCTCAAAAGCATTTAGCACATTTAGCTAGGAGCCACCTAGCTAGATGTTGTTTAGGTTGTTTTGGTTTTAGGGTATTTTTACTCCACATGTCTGAAAAGAGTTCTACCAATTATTTAATATTTTCATTTATTTCAATTATTCTAAGGTATGAGGGAAGGTCAGGGAGCTTAATGTGTGCCCGGAAGTCCGATAATATATAACACATATGGCTAATGTTACCAAATAAATAGCTATATCTAGATCAAAACACAGCTTGGACCTGAACTCACCTAGGAATAACTAACTCTTTATAAAATAAAACCAAAACGTCCTTTTGAAAAAACGAAATGTTTTGCAAGATTATCCAGAGATCCATTTAACCAAGAAATAATTCCCGATTAGTTGTAGTCATTAGAGTGAAGCAAAAACAACTCAAATGACAAGAATTATGGAAAATTACCAAAAAACATCCAGACTTTTAAAAAGGTTAAAATTGTCAACAGAAGGAAAGGAAAAAACTATCTGTGACAACAATTTGGGTTGAAAAAAATTAAGACAAATTCTGCTTAGAGGACAAACAAGGAGTGCCTTATGGTTTTCAAGGTCTCCATTTGCTTTTCTGTGTTCTTCTGTCAGGTGCAGGCAGAAGGGCGGTGCGGAGAGTCGTGGGTCACCAAGGGTTAAAAGGCCATGGCTGGGATTATAGCGGCAGTAAGGACCCCATACTGTGGCCTGACATGCCTACCAGCTTACAGTGCATTTTCCTCTGACAAAGCAGGGACACACACGGTCAGAAGGCATGAAAGGTTCTCACACACACGTGTTGAAAGACAAGCGAGGGTTTCGATTGTAGAGGTCCTCCTCTGTTAGAGGTTATACTGCTTTTTTTTTTTTTTTAATTCACATTTTCACAAAGTCACTTTAATGTGCCTGTGTAATCCTTGGTTCACACTAGAAAAATACTCACTCTTTTCACCAGAAATGTGAAGTGTCCACCCTGTCCTGTCATAATGTCACAGATCCTGAATATGAATCCTGCATATTCAGACGCTCATTAATACCGCAAGGATGGGGTTAGAATCGTGTCCATCCGCAGAACACAAACAAACATTACTCTCTCTCTCTCTCTCTCTCTCTCTCTCTCTATATATATATATTTAAGTAATTATAGGTCACAGGGGGACCAAACAATATTTGTTGACTGTTTTTAGCCTAAGACGACTGTTGCCTGATGCCTGTTTTGCCTCAACTTGTCATATTTAAACCAATACACCGATACCATCCCATCCCAAAGTCTTTACATAATAGGACTGACTTCTGCGGACTGATACTGTTAATAAATGACAAGTTATCAGACAACTTGTGGAAACTATAGAACTATTAAAACTGAACATGTTCATCTACGTCTCGTAAAACTCAAGCCAACCAGAGCTACAGATAATCAAACATGGATGTCTACAGTTCTACAAACGCTCTGTCCTGAAGGAGAACGTCGTGCCTTCAGGAGTTTGACGTGTGTCACTTTCTAACCTTTACCTTCTTCCTGTCCACTGTGTACACATGTTCACTCCTTATTTCCTTTAAAACTTTAAACCTAAAAGGGTAAAACTCACACACATGGACACACACACACACACACGGATCATTATGCGCCCTTCGCTCTTAATGAGAGGCCACTGCGTGCGAGGACGTAGCAAGGGCCGGGTGGTAGTTACAGAGCAGCATGGGAGCTAACTAATCCTGCCACTGATGAACTCATCTGTCTGTCCGTCCACTCCACTCTCAGACATGTGCTAACATGCCATAATCGTCATAATTCTACTGCTGCCCCAGGCTCTGCCACCTCAGCCACATGATTAGGGTTTGAGTCCCAGAGGTATCGGGGTAAAAGCTTTGGTAATTCCATCCTTAGCTTCACACCACCCTGTCTATAGTCTGGCTTTTACATTAAAGTTGTTAGAACAGAGGCAGAGTGTTAGACGTGTGTTGGTGAAAAAGCGAAGGGTGTCTTGTGTCGTCTGTCTGACGCCGGGTTTGAAAAATAAATACATAAAATATAGTCCGGTGAAACAGGGATATTTTGGGATATTTTTAACAAAATCAGATGATGCTGGTCAGTGTCTCCTTCTACACATATTTGTTAAATTTCACACATATTCGACTGAATAACAGGTCAAGACTTGGATATAGCATTTGCAACGTTAGCAACATTGATTGTCTAGCATTGTAAAATTTGTAACTGACTTGAACCCACTTTATGTTGTCTACTGGGTAACTAATTTATGTTTTACAGCATTTTAAATAATATTTTGAGTATATTAAAACTTATAAACAAAGTCTATACATTTGCACAACTAGGCAGGGCTTTACACCCGGCAATATTGATAAACTACAAAGCCTGGTCACAACCCTCCAGCTACAGGGCTACAGCCATCAAACATCAGAGCAACTTAATCATGCTGCTCCAGTGCACAGTCATGAAAAACTGTCAGCAGCAAAGAGTATCTTTGAACAACGACACGTCACCAGTGGCATCAACACCGCTACATGATACAATCCTTTTTTTTTTTACTTTAGCAACACCTTGCAATGACACTTTCCAAATATTTACCAATTGGAAAAAAAAACACTCATTCAGTCTCAGGGAGTATAAACAGCGAAGTGTTTATACGGCTCTGAAGTGAATGTTTTTATTCCACTGGCCGTGAAAATATCTGTCGTGAACGCTGCCTTTTATCACGTAATTCCCTGTCCCTGTCCTCCTGCTTCACCGTAAGCTGCTGTCAGCGGTGCATCTGATTTATTTCTCAAGTGTTGGTGGGACGGCAGCAACCCCAAAGCACAGGTGGACCACAGAGACGGAGAGAGGACCTTCAGAACTCACACTTGGCACCGGGGGATTCTAGGTGGGAAGTAAACCTTGGTCAACACTTTTTAAAAGAAAAAGCTGCTCAGCCATCGCCGCCTGCCTTACAGGCCCACAGAGGAACATTGGACGTCAGTCAGCAGAACAGCTCTGGAAGGAGTGGTTCCTTTTTTGAGTCATGTTTATATTCATATTCTCCATAATAAATATAAATGTCATGATTTGTAATGTCTGGAAGTTCTAGCAGTTTTTGTTTTATTATTTTTTTTCAGAAGTTAGCCTTGAAAATATATGTTATGTAATTATATTGGTGAGGTAGCTAAACCAGAGCTATAGAAAAGTTAGCTGTGAAAACAGCCCAAACACAACTAATTGATTGGTCTTAAATATAATTAAACAAAGAGAAAAAAAATTACTAAAGAGAAAGTCAGCAAAAGTCAACAACAACAAAACATGAATAAATGCTTGAAGAAAAGAAGAAAGGATAGCCAAGAAAAACTCGAATAATCTTCAAAAGTTGTTTTTCCACATAAACCACCTGCACCTGAGGCCTCTACGGTGGGTAACATTGCTTCAATCTGTCAGATGAATCAACCCCGTCAATGAGAAATACAAGAATCCAAACAGGAGCGCAGTGGACGAGGCATTGACACGTCAAGTGCTGAGCGTCTGCCTGTCAATACATTCACTGACCAGAAAGGTCTCGTACTGTCAGGGGACTGACGGTCTGTGAGGTGAAGGTAAAGAAAAGGAAGTGCAGCTAAAAGTCAATCAAATTAGCTCCTTCAAACCCGCCGGAGTCAAGAAGTGAAGGTGAGCAACGAGAGGCTCTTCTGAACTGTCAATGTCTGTGGGGTGCAATCAGAGCGCCCCCCCGCTGGGAAGGACCAGCACTGATAAACCTGAGAGAAAATAACTCCACTCCTTCATATTTACAGGAAAATACAAATGTTTACAGCAATTCTGAAACCTCAACCTGTCAGACCAATAACTGTTAATTTTATGGGAAATTTAGAATGAAGTTAAATTTGAGAAAAAACAAGCAGCTGATGTCCATGCAACAAAGATGGTGGAGTGCTGTTTCATTTGTCTGTCTGTTCTTTTGAATGTAACGCTCAGTGAGAGTTAGAGAATAAAGCCACAGGTGAGGAGAGATGAGAAAAAAAAACATTTTAAGTGGAAATGTCACTTCAATCAAACCAAAAAAATCTGGATTTTGGACACAAAATATCAACCCACAGAGATAAGTCTAATAGGTAAAACCTAGAGTCAGCATTTTCAAATAAAAAGTCAAAATTCTTCAACAACTGCTTGCATTTTTGAGAAATTCACAGATTTAAGAGAACAGGGATCATTCAGAGAGAAAAAAAGTCTGCATTATGATGTAAAAGTCAGCATTCTAACAGAAAAGTCTGCGTTAGAGCAGAGGCAGTCTTATAAAGGAAAAGTCTGCATTTTAACTAGAAGTCAAAGATTTCTATCCTTATTTCTTGTTTGAAAGGACCGACATGTAATAAAGGCAGAGCTACATTTCTGATCTAAGAATTCTGAGTTTAGAAAATAAAATAATAAAATAAAAATCCTGAGATGAAGGGTCAAGTATTTGAAATTGAAATTTAGCTGACAAACTAGACTAATGCACCCGGACATTGTTTATTTGTCTCCTGTGTTGAGTGAAAGCCTTTGGAGAGACGCCAACATTGAAGATGACGTTAAGATCAGATCAGAGTGATAATGACTTACTGCACAACAGAAGGAACCGGCGCTGCTGATGCTGATGCTGATGCTGATGCTGCTGATGGTGGTGGTGGTGGTGGTGGTGGTGGTGGAGACTGGGACCAGTTTGATCTTTGCGTCTTCTTTCATTCCTGTCTCCTCACGATAAACCTGTACAAATCAAATAGTGCTTTTATTCAGCATGCGTGTTTTACAGACATTAAACATGCGGTGCGTGTCCTGACACTGTCTCATAGAACAGAGTCAGTACAAACAAAAGAACATCTACCAACATGTAACTCTTCTACACTGAGCTCATGTCAAAAGAACAGAAAACCTGGTGACATGTCAAATATATATGGTTTTTTCAAATGCACGTTTCTTTCAGCTCACACTGAAGTGACACCGGACTGTTGGTCTTCTCAAAACTTCTCCAGAAATATTTTTAATCTGTCCAAACCAGCAGAGATAGAAACAGATGAACTGATGAAGATAAAACAACAACAGTCTTCAGGTTCTCCTCACATACACTCACATACAACCTTTAGTTGTATTTTTGGCTAACCTATCATGTTGCTACCTTTCTTTTTGATCTTCTTTTCTTTTTATCTAAATTAGTTAGTTTGGGTTGACATTGTCTTTAATCTGGACTTATCTTCAGAAACATATGTTTGTTACGAGCTGACATGGTAGAAAGCAGGCAGGACCCAAATGCAGCACAACAGAGACTGCAGCAGGTTTATTTACATCATGCAAAAACAACAAACAACTCACTGGAACGAGGCATCGACTACAGGCATGGACTTCTCCACAAACATGGACTTCTCCACAAACATGGACTTCTCCACAAACATGGACTTCTCCACTCCACAAACATGGACTAACATGGACTTCTCCACAAACATGGACTTCTCCACAAACATGGACTGCAAACAGTGATCCCAAGAAAGACAGTGAGGGAGAGAGGTAGTATGCACAGTACACCCAGGTCACCAGGTGTCACCAGTGAGACTGATGACAGAGACACAGGTGAATGTAATCACACTCACTCCACCCAGCAGCCAAGACAGGAAGAGGAAACAGACAGCTCTAACATACAGTAGTTAAGGCTTTTGGATCATTTTAAGTTCATTTTAGGCTGGTCTTTGCTATTTATGGATATTTTAGGCAGAATCTTGTCCTTTATTGAAAACCGTAGGTTAATTTATCATTATTTTACTCATCTTTCTGTTACACACGGAGGTTTTTTACACTAACTGGAAGGAAAAGCTATTGTAAACAACACAAATGACATGTCAACAAGTATGTTGGATTAGTACAAGTATCTGAGCCTAGCTGTGGACTACCTTTTTTTGCAGAAATAAGACCATTTATTTAATGGGGACACTAAAGAGCCCCTCCCCTCCCTCGCTCCCCCAACACGTTTGCCTTTAAACATCACCTTAAGATACTACACGGCCCCGCTTCATCTGAGGTGGTCCGCACATGACGTACTTTACCCTCATCAACATATATCATGAAAATGCAGGAATGGCCGAGAGGTTTGTTCCATGACTTGCCAGAATTCCCCATAAACCCTAGCAGCACAGAGCAGCCGGCACCCAGTCACTTTTCTGCAGCGAGTCCCCGAGGGCACGGCTCTGCTCTGTTTGAAGATCAAAGCCGCTGAGGTAAAACAGCAGATTTACAGGTGCTGGGAAATTGAAAATTTCCTGGGCTCAGTCAGGGTTTGAATGGAGAAGGAAGTCTGACATCGTATATGAGTTGGTGTCAGTGTGGAGAGGCCACAGGACAGAATGTTAACTCTAATCTCATGTTACTGCACACCGTCGGATATATAATAAATATATTTTCTCACATGCACAGTCTAATATATATATATATATATATGTATATATATATATATATATATATATATATATATTTATCCTACATTTATCACCTTATTTTATACTCCTGATACACACTCGTTTCATCATTATTAAATATTTGTTGGACTAACCTGTATCTATATTTTTCAATAATTTTAGTTATATTTTTGAAAGCTTGCTAATGTCGTAACTTTCACGTATTCTGCCGGAATATTTAATTGAAAAAAATATTTTATTTTTTATTTTTTATCTGAGTTTTAACTCAGAGAAGGTTTATAGCTCTGTAGAAATTGTTAAGGTTGACTTTAACAGCACTTTACATTTTCCATCACTCCTTCCTTCTAGGGCAGTGCTTTCAAATGTTAAATAAGTGGAAACTGACCTGTGGCCTGCAGCTGTCTACTGTTGTAAAACCTAAGGGGTTTTTCTCTCTTCTCTTCTGGTGCTATTTCAATGAAAATGCATAAAAATGGCCAAAATATCAACCAACAACTGAATGGTTATGGATTTTTTTTACATTCAAAACAATAATCAGAAATTAATCAAATAAAGTTTGTAGTGCGCCACCTAGTTAGTTACAGCAGAAGGCACTTCTGAATTAGACTTAGGAGTTTATGTGACGGCAGCAGAAACAAACCTGCAAAAACTTTACATGTGAACACAACACACCATCGCCCACTGTGGCCTAAAGACACCAGCGTCAACACTGGGCGTTGGAACCACATAGAGAACCTCAACCACTGTGCAGGACGCTGTTCGAGAGGGAACATTTGATCTGTAACTTTTCTCCGTAGCTCATCATCGGCTCACTCAACAACAAACTGGACCTCAGTCCGAGCCAAGTGTATCATTTCCTCTGCACCTCTTCGCTTTGTCTTCCTCTGTGAGCATGAGAGGACCAGTCCTGCCAGGCTTTCTGCATGAAAGGCCGTCTTTAGCTTTTTTTTTTTTCAGGCTATTTGTGCTTCTGACTCTGTTGTGTTTGTGTGTGATGGGAGGTGCCTGCACCAGTTTCCTTAAAGGAGCAGGGGGTTTTGTTTGTTTCTGCGCCGTGCCAGCAGAAGTGACAGCCATTCCGGCTCTTTCACTGAAACACATTCATCTGTTGTGTGAGAAAAGGCGGCCGCTGAACTCAGATGAAAGGGCCACGGGGGCTGTGTGGCACAGGAAAGGCAGGACTGTACATGGGCTGGAGTGCAAATACAAGACAAGGCATCGTGTCAGAAAAGACAAGTGAGACGAGACGGACTGAAGGGTAGAGGGGGAGAGAGGGAGAGAGGGAGGTGAGGGAGGAGAGGGAAGGGTAAAAAGGTAACTGAAAGACAAAAACAGAAAAATATAAAACAAGAGTGAAAGAAAACTTTTTATCTTTAAAAGTCTATAAATGTGACTCATATATAGCTTCTGTGACCCATATTTATATTATTAGCTATGTATCTTTTAGCTTCCTATAACAGCTATGCTAACATTTGGCATTTTTCTATTAAATGTTATTGATTTCCATCGTGTCTGTCTGTTGCTAGTAAATGTCTAACTGTAAGTCTTATAAATATAAATTTTGGCTAACTTTAAGCTACTTTTGGAAAATTGAATGTGTCAATAATCGAATGTGTTGCTATTTGTCTAATATTTAGCTACTCCTCGCCTAACTTTTCAACCTTTGGTGATGTTAGCATGTTCAAGGGAAACATCTGTCATCCTGTGGCTAAGTTTTAGCTGCTGCTGCTGCAAAGAGAGAAGGAAGAACATAATTGTTGTTTTTCACTGACTCTCCCTATGAAGAGTAACATTGGTTTTTATCATGAAAGGCCTGTGTTACAAAGCTCCTCCATTCGTACATAATACAATCCCAAGAGACAGAAGGTTTGAAGTCCGTAATGTTCCTATCTAACCAGTCACTGTTTTCATAACAAACCTTTGAGAAAAAAACACCATTTATTTTACTTGTTTATCAAAACCATACTTTGCTCTACTTCACTACTTTAGCACGGCTGGTTTTGTACTCGACTCTACATCTTCATGTTTTTCCACTCACAGTAAAAACACAACATATATTTTGTGTTTCCTTCTCATTTACATTGTTTATTTCAGGGAGACCGGGGAGGGGGTTCCTGCAGGACAAAGCCTGTCGGAAATGACACTCACTGGGTGAACTGTGTGTGACTGTGATGATTATATAAATAAACAACACACTGAGCAGTGAAGTGACCGTGGTCATTTCATTAGAGCAGGACAAATTCAATTAGAGGAATGGGCCGTTTGTTTTACCCAGTTTTCGCTGCCGTCAGAGGCCCTTCTCCAAAGGACAGCAGCAGAGAAGTTTTACTACAGTTTTATTTGTAAAACTAATATTTATTTGTTCTGGACTCCAAATGACTTTAAAGTTACTTTTATAATGTTTTTACCATTGTTTTTCTTCTGTGTTTGTTGCTTTTACTAGGCCTTTGTGTAAAAAAAAACTCTGGTTCGAAGTCTATTGTTTTAAAAAATGCTGTTCAAATAAACTTGTCTCCACAAAAACATGTAGGTAACTTAAATAAAAAGTCTTTGATCAACAAGGCCAACATTTTTATCATTTAGCATATTTATTTAAATGCTATAAAATTGTATATTGTGTATTGTGATGACATAAGATCCTGAATTAATAATTTCAGATTATATTAATTCATTTAAAATGTTAAAATGTCATAAACATGAATTGTCATATTTAAGAGGGTTTGTTTCATTTATTGTACCAAATGTTTTTGGCCACAGAGTCAAAAACTCACAAATAGTTCCTGGATGCCAAAAACAATTTGAAGTTTGAAGTGTGTGAATTTTGATGCTTCTTGTCAGTGACACTTGATGCAAATGTCTCAACAGACCAACGTAAACTGACAGAGGTGTCGCTGTGCCATCAGGTTTCCCTCTGCTGCTTTAACAAACACTCGGAGTAAGACAACATCACTGCTGTAAATAAATGATTATAAATAACTAAGAGGGTTAATGCAGAGGAGAGGTAACCTGGGTCACAGCTCTGGGTAAATCAGTCAACCCTGTTGTGATAATAGAAAATTAATAGAAAAAAACATTTGTTAGGATGAGTTCTGCAACAGTGTTTAAGTTGATGTTTGGCCAAATCTAACAGCTGTTTCTGTTTGTGAACTGATGAATATGAACTTATTTGAGAAGTAAAGAGTAGGATTACTGCAAAAAATACTAAATACATGTTGACAAATAGTAAAGAACTGGAAACATGTGCTGGGTCTGCAGGTCAAATATTAAACAACTAACTTAACTAACTAACCACTAACTAACTAACTAACTAACTACTAGATAACTAATTACAAAGGATAAAATATAAAATGTTCATTTCTATATTTCTATATTAAGTTCACGTTAACAAAAACACGAACTCCCGCGAGAATTGTTTCTACGACAAACCATTAGTCGATTAATCAATGACTAACTGACTGCCAAATCGATCGTAGGTTATTTAGAAACTGATAAATTAATCATTTTGATCAGACTTTACGAGTTCCGTGAATATTTCCAATTTATAAATAAAATCTATCTACTTGATTGGGATTTTTTTACGATTTAATCTAATGACGTAACGAAGTTAAAGTCGCGTGTGTGAGAGAGTGTGTGAGGCTTACTCACTTATGCCACACACACCTTGTTCTAAAAACCAACAAGTTGAGGAGCTGGCTGCAGGGCACAGAGGAGGGATGTGTGTGTGGGTCCCTGGAGGCCTGCAATCATAACTGCTCACTGACTGCTGCTGCTGCTGCTGCTGCTGCCTCTCTCTACCCTCTCTCTACCCTCTCCCTCTCTCACCCAGAGTCGCTCTGACAGCACAGTCTGTTTGAAGCTGCTCAGGTAAAATCCTAAAATCCTTGTCCTAAATATCAACGTTTCCCAGCTGCTGCCAACGTGACAGCAAGGAGGATCGTGGGTGTGGATTGTGGACTTAACACCATGCCCACAGTCTCTCTGTGAACGCGCACACACACGTGCACATTCCTATAGGACACTGATGGACCTCCATTCATTTAAGACTAAAAATGAATTAACTACAACTTAACCAGTACCACCTTATCAGATCTTAGCCAATGACAAGGATAGAATAGAATAGAATAGAACAGAATAGAATAGAATAGAACAGAATAGAATAGAATAGAATACATATGATTTATTTTAGAGTTAAAAAAACACAATGTTAAATGCTCCATATTACACAATAAAAATAATAGTGCGACCAAATAATAAATAATTTAAACAATAATTAAAAAACACGACAAATACTCGTACGGCGTAAACTCCTTTGTGATTCCTTTAAAAGTCACCGTGTGTCCAAGAGTCTAGCGGTCCAACTGTGGAGTTCATTCTAATTTTTACTACAGTTTTATAAATTAATCCCAAAACATTTCCGAATAAATATTCAATCAGACACACCACACACACACGGTGTCATCAAACGCGGTAAAACTCAACACACGTCACAACCACAATTTAATTGAATTTGAACGAGTTTAAAAATAAAGTTTATGGTCACGTTCGTGGCTCTTTTTTTTTTTTGTTTTCGAATACAAGCTGAAGAAGCTCCCGAACAAACGAGTGGATTCAACTAGTTAACGACTAAACCCTATTTCAGGTTTGTAATCTTCAGCCTGACCTTATCCACAGGCGTAAATGTGAAGATTTTACAAAAGACAGAACAATAGGGAGTAGACACAGACGCATACACACCACCTAGTGACTGCTAAATGAAAAATAGACAAGTTAATTTATGTATTTATTATGTTTGTAGTTTGACTCAGATCATCATTCCCACGCACGTAATTTCAACTATGTCCTAATCAACTGTGGTGGGAAGCTCAGAAAACATCTCAGATTATCGCCGCTTCTCTCTCTGCTTCTTAGCTCAGTGTCCTTACAGTGAAGTCGACAATGATTTTACAAACAGCTCGGTGAGAGATGTAAGAAGAGAAAGCAGACGATGGGATAGAAAAAAAGCTGCGCTTCCTTCTTTGCGGATCAATACTAGCGCAGCAGGAGCCGAACAGGAACCGGCATCGACGCACTTTGTGGAGCTGACCTTTCCCACTCCCCACAGGTCGCACCTTCCTCCGCTGGAGAGGTCACCGGGCCGGGCGGCCACTGGAGGGACCATTAGAGGATTTTTCTTTTTCTTTTTTTTTTGCATGGTGCATGAACAATACGCTGAATAAACAAAGTTTACTTTGTTTTCCTGTGGCTAAAATGAGTGTAAAGGTGTCCAGAAAAACAAAACAAAAAACAGAATAGTTTAAAACTTATATTTTTGTCTTTGTTATCATTTATTCAATTTGCTTCTGCTCATCATGTATTCACTAATTTATGACACAATTGTGGGCCAAGTGATGTGAGCAGCTTGGGTAACAGGAGGCAGAAGCTCCATAAGACACACTGAGTACTACTGCTGCTGCTGCTGCTGCTGCTGCTGCTGCTTCTGTAGTCGAGTGTTGTCGGCCTGCAGGCGACTCCCACCACCCACTAACTAAGTCCCACTACATACTTATGAGCCTGCGTGAAGCATGTCAGAGTCACGCAGCAACAACAACAGCTTTTTCTTCTCCAACGCACACCATCCAGTCTAACGGGACACAATCTACCACAACACCCCACTGTCCTCGGTGCACGGACACGACCAAGAACGGCCTCCACTGAGGCCCTGGGGCACAGCACGTCCAATGTCACAGAGCTCTACCAATATGTCCTCAGAAAAAACAAAAACAAATGCAGAAACACATGTATGAGGTTCAGGCATTAAATCGATTAAAACAGTCGTTTCCTACAGCAGTGGTCAGTACGAACCCAGAGACCAGACTCTACAGGAGCCTGAACTGCAGTCAAGTTCAAGTTCAAGTCCTCTCTCTGCAGCAGTGACCAGAGGGAGGTCAGTCCCAGTTTTCAAATTTAAAGTCAGTTACTGTGATTTCAAGTATGAGACAGAAAAAAACAAAACAAACATTTATCACCACGTCAGCGAGAATTTTTTTAGTTGGAAAAAAAAACCGACTATGAATAAATACCGAAGAGATATTTAATGTATTTCATGATTTGTTTTAAATCAGCTCATTTCGAGTATTTTCCTAAACTCTATTGCACTGCAAATATTGCTATAACAACATTAGTCCAAACCAATGCTGTTATAACAATTTTGCATTAAATTTTGGCGCAGGGAATTCCGCTTCAACTCATTTAGATTAGATTGAAAGTTTGGAGAGTGAGCACAACAAACGCAAAGCAACTATTCCTCACTTGCAACACCGTTTTTATTATATTTGTATGCAGTAAAATTCTTATCACAATGAGAAAGAAAAACACTTCTTCAAACTTTGAAGAAAAAAGGAAAAAGCACATAACAAAACAACTGCCCGTGGTTTCTCTTTTTTTTTCGTAGCTCGTCATTGTACATATTTATAGGAAAAGAAACATTTTTTTCTTTATAAATACTGTTTCATCTGTAGCAAGTAAATACCATAATTTAATTACAAATGGATAAATATGGCAGCTGATATTTACAACAAAAAGGATGAATGTAGTTACAGAGGGGGGAGAAAATAATAATAATAATAATAATAATAATTATAATTATAATAATTCCAACGGCACAACGTTTATTTTTCCTCACAATCTTCCAGATAGTATTTCACAATTGCAAAAGCACAAAAAACGGTCACGAGTTAAGCCCAGCCAACTGAAAAGAAATGTACATTCACAAGCAGTATATTGTCGTGTGCGTGTGTGTGTGTGTGTTTGTTGGGTAGTTAAATGTCAATTTTGGCACTCTGTCCAGTCTATAGGTGTCAGGTATTGTACAATCAATTTGCCTCAGGACCACAATATTCAACATTAGAGTAGAGTCTGTCTGGTAATATGTGCACTAGAGTCCAGTTAGAGGAGTAGCTACCATTGAAGGAACATCTACACAGCAAAGACGGACGAAACGATCACAACCAATGGGAAACGTGGGGCCTTTTCACTGACTATTTACAATATGAAATACATTTAGACTATAATACATGATTCCCTCTGTTGGTCTGTGCCCGTCCTGTTCACCCTGGCTGATAAAAACTCACAAAATAAAAATAAACCTTTATTTGTATGTGTGTGTCATTGTGTGTGTGACCCAAATCTCCAGTGCTGTGAAATGAACGTGTGTGATGCTTCACTTCCCTCTCTCTCTCTTTTATTATTATTTTTTTTTAATTTTTTTTTTTTACAGAGTCCCTAAACATACCATTCACTGAAATTGGAGGAGAGGACACTGTGGCTGCTGGTGTTGTGGACAGCTGAGGCTGGGGACAGGGACGTGGCGTTGCTCTGGGTCTCTGTGGTGGGAGACACCAGGCCTGGGGGTGTGGAGGATTCGTAGCCAGAGCTGGCTGCTGGTGATGAGTCTGAGGCTGGAGGAGAGGATTCATGGACCTGAGGAGAGCAGAGGAGGAAAAAAAATCACGAATAAGTATTTAAATCGACACAGGGGTTGGAGCTGAATTATTTATCTCCACTCCACAGCAGGGTCAGTGAATGGAACACTCGCCGGGTGTTTACCTTCATGTGTTTTCGTAGGGAGCTGGGGTGTGTGTAGGACTTGTCACACATCTTGCACAGATAAGGCTTGTCCGACGTGTGAACGTGCATGTGTTTCTTTCGGTCGCTGCTGTTTGCAAACCTTCTGTCGCAGCCTTCAAACTCACACTGGAACGGCTTCTCTCCTGCAGAAAAAACACGTTTTTGTCAGAAAAACCAGTACAGAAAATTCATGCATGAAATTTAAATTTAAAATCACAGGAAAATCACAACTTAAACACTTTCATTTTCACTATGCAAACTCCAGTGAGTGCTCTCTTTTTATATGAGGAAGCGGCGCGGGGGGAGGGGGGGCTGGTGCGTCTTATTTAGCCTAAATAATGCGCATAGTGATTTGGGGATGAGCAGGGGGTGAGGGGTGAGGAGTCTTGGGGGGTGGTGAGCGAAGGCCGACCTCTGTGGGACTTTACAGTAACACACACCATTTGCTAGAAGACAATAAAAATCTAATTAGCACCGCGCATATCATGTATTTCCCCCAAGAAAATAAGGCGAACTGTGTCACCGTGGTAATGGCCCGGTCTGGCACCTTAGAGCTCGTGTGTGTGTGTATGTGTGTGTGTGTGTGTAAGAGCGCTTCTCAGCACAAACGGCAACAGCAATGGATGCAGTAATACACAAGCATTTAGTACAAATGTATTTCAAATATTTTTTGTAGCTACAAAACGACTGGGCTAACGCAAAAATACAAAATAATAAACAAATCAAGTAACGGTCAGGGGCTGATCTGGGGTCGGTGCTCACACTGACTGACCCGTTTAAAGTTTCAGTCAAAACATAAACTCGTCAGATTTGTTAAAATATATTTCTGTGTTTAACAGATATAAAAACGACTTCTATCGCTGCTAAATGTACTAAACACTGTCCTCACTCCTGTCCTCCGAGTACACTGCTGTCAGTTAGACAGTGAAATCTGAATACACACGAGTTACGTCAAATAACGCACAAACGCGAGAATAGGGGCATTTATGTGGTATTAAAGGAAGTCAATAATTTCAGAGAGTAAATATTAATTACCTGTGTGTGTCCTCTTGTGTATCTTCAAGTTTTCCGACCGTGCGAAGACCTTCCCGCAGCCGGGGAACGGACATGGGAAAGGCTTCTCCCCGGTGTGCACCCGAATGTGGTTAACCAGTTTGTATTTCGCCTTGAAGGGCTTGCTCTCCCGGGGGCACTCCTCCCAGAAGCAGATGTGGTTGGTCTGCTCCGGGCCGCCGACGTGCTCCACGGTGACGTGCGTGACCAGCTCGTGCATGGTGCTAAAAGTTTTGTTGCAGCACTTCTTGGGGTTGCTGAGCTGCTCGGGGTCGATCCACTTGCAGATGAGCTCCTGCTTGATGCACTGCTGCCTCATGTAACGGAAAAAGGCACCGGGGTGGTGGTGGGCTGCCATGTTCATGCCCATGTTCATATTCATGGAGCCGTACTGGTTGTGTAGTTGCGCGGCCGAATACGGGTCGGTCCTGGGGCTGGAGACCTGGTGGTACTGCTCGGAGCGACCGAAAACTTCTCCCGGTAGTCCCAGTCTCATCTGGCTGTTCAGGACGTTCGGAGATCCGTGGGAGCCGTGCTGCTCGTGGATCCCGGGGAAGAGTATGTGGCCTTGAGTGTCTGTGTGGGAGTGATGGAGAGATCCCGCCGTGGGGCCAAAAATAGTGTGTTGGCTGCTGGCCGGAGAGGATTCTCCGAAGCCGCGGCTGCGAAAGAGAAAGTCCCTGGTGGAGTTGAAGGGGGAGCTGGCGTACGACGTGACATGGGCGGCGTGAGCCCCCAGAGCCGCAGTGGGGTAGCCCGGCGCCTGGGTGCTGAAGGCTGAGCTTTGTCCGGGGGAGAGATCGTGGTTGAGCTTGAAGGCACCCATGTGTGCCGAGTCCACAAAGCTGTTCTGCGCCAAACTCAAGTCTCTCTCCTGCATCTCGCTCGCTGAGTGATGCCTGGCGAAAGAGCCCACTCCCAGTCCGGGAAACTGGTGACCGGCATCCAGAAGCATTTTGTTTTTACAGAAAACAAAACAACAAAAAAAAAAAAGCTCTAATCTGATTTACTTATTCACTTTCAACTAAAAACCGAGAGAAATATCAAATATGAACTACAGCGCACAAAGATTCAACTTCCAACCTTGGAAACACCATATCAGGTGTGAGTGGACAGGCTGCTCCGATCACAGGGAATACAATTATTATTTAAAAAAAAAACAATTTACTTATACCGACTTAATCTGACTGAAAAAATCCAAATGTAACGAAGTCAAGAGTTTCCTCGTGTCCCCCTCCTCTTGGACTCGACAGTTGCTCTGCGCTAAAACGCACTGTAAGAATTAAATCATTGTCTTACTATCTAGCAGGCGTCCTCTGCGTAAAGTAGCAGGAGCATCTCAGGAAAAAAAAACTGCTGCTCCGAGTGGGGGATTATAATTGTGGTGTTTCTGTGGCTTGGCTCTGCCTGTGTTTCTGCCTGTCTGTCTGTCTTTAACGCGGAGGGTCTCTGTTTCTCCGTAGACTGGCTCTACCTCCTCTTCCGCCCCCTTTAACTGGAGCCCGTGCATTCCTTTCTCGCAGTCTCATTGGCCACTGCGCCTCATCAATCCCAGGTGCCCCTCCAATGGCAGGTTGCGCATTGGCTACTTAATAGCGCAACGCCATTTTTCCACTAATAATTACCGCCTACTTTTTTTGGAGGAGAACATTTGGGGGGTATACGTACAGGCGGAGAAGGGAGCACGACTTGGGAGAAGAGAGGACGTCGTTTTTGTTGTTTTGGTCTCGTAGGAGCCACGGCGCCTCATGTTTAATCTCTCTGCCGTAACATTTATACTTTTAATCAAATACCACACGTGTACTTTGTCTGTAATTACCGCATGTAGTATGATATAACACATAACTCTTCCTTCCGTAAAATGGTAATATAATATTATGACAGCGTGTTGTAAGTGAAGCATGTGAGGACGTTTTTTTACGCACAGATTATATATTACAAGGAGCAAATGCTGCTGGGATATTAAATTATTTATTCATGATGCCAAAACAATTTGAATATTATATTGTAATAAATATTAAATTAAGTGTAAATACTCTGAAGACACCTGGTTTAAACTATACTCTAATAAATCACACCCTTGTTGATTTTAAATGCTGATAAATCATCGTGATTTATCGCGAAACCTGACCAAACCGCCTGTGCCAGCCACACACAGCTCCAGCCTCCACAGCTGTAAAAGCATGTTGGCTCCATATGGCGTACAGTGGTTTTTCACTGGTGGTAGAAGAACCACAACTGGGCCTTCAGTGGTGAGCCGTTTCTGCAGGGACCTTTAATGGTTCCACGTGTCTGCTGGTTCTGCGGTGGTTCTCATTTTCACCACACCAATTAAGTGACATGTCATGGTGCTGTAGTGTGTTTAGAATCACAGTCAACCACTTAGTGTTTTCCCAAAAGGTCACGAGTAATCCCCATTGACTGTGCGTCATTTCTGCCATCAGGAATTTTTTTAAAATAAATAAAACCCGTAAAGTACACCTTGAGATCATTTTCTTTACAAACATGTGTCTTTAACAAATGGTCAGAGACCACAGCTGCTCGTTCAAGTCAAAGCAAGATTTTATTTTACTTACATGTGCACCAGAATCCAGACCCCACCAAATCCAAGCACGGCTCCAACACACACATGATCCCACCCCTCTCTCCCAGCTCTGCAGTGATCTGTGACGGGACACACACAAATGTCCAAAACGTTTAAAAACTTCTTCTCCAAATGTGTCTTTTTTTTAGACAGAGTGCATGGGGACAGACTGCGCAGTTGTATGCGTCCGTGCGTGTATGCGTATGTGTGTGTGTGTGCGTGCGTGTATGTGTGTGCCATTCTTCCCAAGTCTATTTCGACCCGCACCACAGGAAACACAGGAGCTGATCCAAGTTCAAAGTCACGTCTGCCCGACCCCTGGAAGAAGTTCTTTATTTCTCTGGAAAAACCACGAAATCTTCCCAAGACAGGAGTTTTAGTGAAGGGAAGAGAAAAAAACTCAATCGGCTTTTAAGATGTTTTTTTCTCTTTCGATTGTATTTGGAAAGGTATGGGGGTGTGGAGAACCTCCCCACCCCCAGTATTTCAACAGGTTTTAGGAGCAGCGACACATGAAGACATGAATCACACAAACTACTGCGACACAGATTTACACCATCAGTAATTCTGCTGTACATTTGGTGAATTCATGTTCAAAAGCACACATCCGTGTTTCCTGTGATTGGGTTGTGTTATGGGGGGGGGGGGGGGGGGGGGGTAGGGGGGGTTGAAGGAGCTCGAGACACATTTCTCCCCTCTTGTTATCTGACAATATCAATATGTTGACACACTTGGAAGGTAGTTGCGTGGCTTTTGTGACCTTGTGTTTCATGGATGTTTGACTCCTGACCCGTTAAGACCACATATGTTGCCCTCTTGACTCCCTGTTTAGTAAAATAGCCATGTTTATGACAAAGGCTCTTTGTTTTAGATACAGAGAGAGCGAGAGAGAGGGAGAGAGAGAAGGGGTACGGAGCGACGGAGGGTTGGGTGGGTAAAGATGCCCCCCCCCCCTCCCCGTTTTTTTCTTGAGTGAGACATCGACAGCATTTTTAATAGTTTAGCAGCAGTTTTATTAGTTTAGTGCGTCATAAATCGAAGGATTTTAATGTCTCAACGCTCATGGCGTTCTTTCTATTAAAACAAGAAATGTATCATCCTACCTGTGTGTGTGTGTGTGTGTGTATTTTGTCTCAGGTCCCATGTGGCGTTTAATTTCATGTGTAAGAAAGAGCAGGGGCCCTTCAACACGTCATGAACAATGTACCCGCTGCCCCGGTGTTTTATGGGTTTTCAGAAGTTCTGCAGTGAAGCATGAATTTTTTATTTATTTAAGAAAAAAAGGGGGGGGGGGATCTCAGATACGATATATGTGTAAGCCAAATAATATGTTAACCCCTAAATGAAACAATAATAAACATTATTATTATTATTATTATTATTATTATTATTATGTTGAAATTTACGTTTTTACCAATAAGCTGCACACATTAAATTTAAATAAAAATAAAAATAAAATGTATGTATTACTGAATGGTATTTAGTCCAGCGTCTGTTTCCTGTGTTCACGATGATTCCTGTGCAGTGTTTAAGAATAGTGCTAACACATGGGTTGGAAGTGTGTGAATGAAGTCATAAAAATGACAGACTCACACACACCGTGCTGTCAGCAGAGACTGAAAAGGACCTGGTGCTTCATACCAGGTTAAAGGCAGTCGCAGGATTTTACCGTTTTTTTTTAAATACTATAATGTTTGATAATAAATGTTTAATTTTTGGCCCACAAAATCATACAATGTAGTCGACTTAAATCTATATTAAAATACAGCAGAGACTAGATAAGCATTTCGTATTTTATTTAAATATTTTAAACAAAAAAATAACGTTATTTCCACTGTTTTTGTAACTGCAGCCATAAATCTGGCCTTGACTGACGTGTAGACATGAATCCGCTTTAGTCCAATGCCTCTGTTCGCACTGAATCGTGCAAACCGTGAACGCATCATTCCCACATGAGCGTGATTAAAATGATAATCGCGATGATGATGATTAATAACCGCTGGGGGGAAAAGGCCTTCACAAAACACAGACACACAACAGACGAACAGTTTCTGACATGTTTAATTAATATTCATGGATTTTTTTAAAAAATAAAATGTTTCTATGTCTTTCGTAGTTCTCATTCCAAAACCGTATTTTCAATTCGCCAACACGATTTCTGAATATTTATTAAAAACGCAAATAGCAAATAAAAATGAAGAATGTCATTTTTACGCGTGTCCATGCATCCACGCGTCACCGCGCTGCAGTTTTCCACCTTCCCTCTTCACATCTCGACCTCGTGTCCGTCACAAACGACACTTTCAAACCAAAACACAACCACTCGTTCGCTTTAAAGTCTGCACTGGTGTCACAGTCTAACACGCAGCAGCGCCAGTAAACAATAAACAGTCCAAAAGCCGCACAAACACAAACAACTGCTGCTCCAACTCCGTGAGTACAACTTTTTGGAGTCAACAGCGCTGGAGAGAGTGAGGGGGCGGAACCCTGCTGAGACCCTGCGCTGAACGACAGCCAATCGCTTCGTTCCCTTAACTGCCAGTCACCGAAATCCATCCAATACCCGCAGTGCCATTTCTAAACTGTATTCCCCACTGTGTCCTCCAACTGTTGTATGTTCTGCCAATCGCTTGAGGACAGAGTGGGGAAAAGGAGCAAGCAGAGTTAGACGCCGGACAAAAGAACTTATAGGGCCACCCCCCTATATCCACATTTTCCTAATGTTTTAGAAAGAGCACAAAAAAACAATCGCGGTGAGTGCGGATGGACTTGTCAGAGTAGTTATGGAACCCCCTTTAAGCAAGAGGAATCCTGCGATAAGATTAGCGGATTTGGCAGCGACTCAGACTCTTCCTCATCAGAATATGACAGGCTTCCCGGGGCTAGGAGGGCATCACCCGCTCTCCCATCATGCCCACCTCCACCCTGGGGAGCTGGGCAACGACCCCGGAGTGGCACTCACTCCATTTGGACCAGAGCACATGGCACAGACTGCTAATGCTCTCAAACTTAGCCCCACTCAGCACATCCAGAGCCATCCCGAAGCCCAGACCGCGGCATCTTTCACTTCCACTCAGACCACAGTTGGTTTCCCCGTGGCTCACCCCCACTCAGGCTACTCAAGCAGCAGGGACTTCATCCTCAGGAGAGAACTCTCAGCCTCTGCTATGCATGCACTTGGCGACCAGCATAGTTCCGCCTCCTCCCCTCATCACCATGGCATGTTCATCTCCCCAACAGGTGCTTATGGGCACACGGAAAGTGCAGGGGCCCATTCACTTTTCACTGGACTTCACGACCAGGCGTCCCCGGGTGCCCACCATCACCACCATCACCCACACCACCATGCCCTGAACGGCCAGATGCGCCTGGGCATACCGGGCGACATCTACGGCAGGCCGGAGCATTTCGGACACAGGCCGGAGCACTATGGACCTTCTTCTCTCCACAGCTACAACTCCATGAACCTCAATGTGAACATCGCTTCTGCTCCTCACGGAGCGGCGGGGGCGTTTCTGAGGTACATGCGGCAGCCCATCAAGCAGGAGCTGATCTGCAAATGGATCGACCAGGAGCAGAACCAGAAGAAGCCCTGCTCCAAGACCTACAGCACCATGCACGAGCTGGTCAACCACGTCACCGTGGAGCACGTCGGCGGACCGGAGCAGAGCAGCCACGTCTGCTTCTGGGAGGAATGTCCACGAGAAGGGAAAGCGTTCAAAGCAAAGTACAAACTCATCAACCACATCCGAGTTCACACGGGAGAAAAACCCTTCCCGTGTCCGTTCCCCGGCTGTGGAAAAGTCTTCGCTCGGTCGGAGAATTTAAAGATTCACAAGAGAACTCACACAGGTCAGTGAAATTGTTTTTTTTTTTTTTAAATATATCCCTCTTGTTAGTGGTTCTCCCGCACTCCTAAAGCATTTTTTTTGTTATATTATATATTATTTATTTATTATTCTCACTCTACATTTGTCCAAATAGTCTGTGCGTAACTGTGCGTAAAAGCAAGTCAAAAAAGAAAACAGTGGTTATTCAGTGAATCGCCTCATTTCCGATCTTTAAATATAAACTTTTATCTCTCCCGGAGTCTCCTGTAGTGGGCGTACGGGGATTAGAGCATATGATTTGTAAAACGTGCTTACGCACGGCGCTGGAGGACGCGTAAAAGTAATTGTCCAGAGGCGTAGGACGTTCACGCACAAGCCCAGTGCATATGGTGGTGATTTTGTGCCATATGATGCTCGAGGTATGGAGTGTGGGCTGCGTACTGGCCGTAAAACCTCTGTTAGTGGAGCAACACAGCGTGTTAATGGGGGCTTAGGGGAAGTTGTCAAATTATACACAGAGCACTGAGGGCCAATATGTTACACGGTTTATCACAGAGCAAATATATGTATATACTTGTACTGTTTTGAACAATATTTGCAGCTGACAGTCTTTCTGGGCTGGTTGTAGTAGTAAATACATGTTGTTGTTTTGATACCAACATTTAAACATATGATTATTAAGGCTGTTGGAGAAGTACTGCATTTAGGTGCAAGTCATTAAGTCGAGGTTATGAATGTTGTGAATCAAAGTCAAATAAAACAAGAAAAGTCCAAGCAAAAATATTGCATACCAAATGTTTTCAAAGTAAACAAGGGTTCAACTGTAATTAAACATGAGTAAATACAATAATTACTGAACACCATAGACGGAGAAATAAAAATATATAAATATATTGTTTACACACATATCACATATTTAGGTCCTGGGCCACATAAAACCGGTGTCACGACCCGACTGGTCCCTGGACCAAACGTTGCACAAACCTGAAACATGTTTATGTTTGCGTCATGTTGTGGTTGTCACAGTGACACTAAGGAAAGTGATTTGTTTTTGTTTTTTAACTCGGTGAGTCTAAAATATGACTCGATACCAGAATGCTGCGTTTAAATGTTCATTAAAGGTCGGTGAAAAGTCGTTTCAAAGTGCTGCTGCCTGTCAACTAGAACGCCCTCTATCCTCCACTGACAAACATGTCAGCCCAAAACGGCGAGTGTGAACGTTGAAGAAAGCGTTATTCTTATGATTATTTTGCATTTTTAGTCATTATTTTTAGTGACTGGCTGTGGTGGGGGAGAACACGTCACAGTGATGGGAAATTGCCATAATGCTGTGTTTATTGAGGATGACAGGTGGAGGAGCTGTGGTTCAGTGGGTTCTCTCAGGTGTCAGAGAGGATAGAGCCAAATGGAGTGTGGGTAAAAGTGTCCAAACTGACTGTGTGCGTTTCCATCCTTCTGTTTTGAAGGAGAAAAACCCTTCAAGTGCGAGTTCGACGGCTGCGACCGCAAATTCGCCAACAGCAGCGACCGCAAGAAACACTCCCACGTCCACACCAGCGACAAGCCCTACTACTGCAAGGTGCGCGGCTGCGACAAGTCCTACACGCACCCGAGCTCGCTGCGCAAACACATGAAGGTCCACTGCAAGTCTCCACCACCCACATCCACCAACGTCACCTACATCTCCCCCAACAACCCGCTGGGAGAGCCGCTCTCTCCCGGCGCCGAGATACCGGCGCACAGGAACCGGTCCTCGAACCTCTCCCCTCAGGTCACCAACCTGAACGAGTGGTACGTGTGCCAGGGCAGCGGAGGACCCAACCACCTCCACACCCCGTCCAGTGACGTGCCCACCACGGATTCAGAGGACGAGGAGTCCTTCAGGGGCCCAGACCCGAGGACGATGCTCTGATGGCCCGGCTCACGGACACCTGACTGTGTTGGTCGGCTGGTTAATGATTAATCCACTGAGCCAATATGACTTATTTCATGAAAATGCCTCTGATGTGACCACTCGCCTGACCAAAACGCTGACCACAACCTTTATAGATTTATTTTATTATTACTCCGTAGCACTAAACGTAACGAATGTGAGGTTCAAAATTCTCTCGTCGTAAATTTGTTTGGAGGAAAATCTGTTTCTACGGAAGAGGATTAGGGACACCAGGGGGTTAGGACGTTTCCTCACATTTGACTCTTTATATTGTTTATTATTATGTATATTGAAAATCTAATTTTTAATATGTAGAAGAGTAAAACGTTGACTTTAATCTTAGATTTTGCTCTTCCTTCTTGACATTTTGAAATTTTAACTGAAGTATTAAAATACAAAAAAAAAAAAAAGTTTTGACCTAACAGTCAAAATGTTAACTTTTTTATCCCAGGATAAAAATAAACTTAATCTAAAGATTCTAAATCCTGTAATCTCAAATTATTTTGATGACAGTTTCTCTGTCAGGTTTGGGGCCAAATTCTAAAGTTCAGACTTTTTCTCAGTTTGTTAATGATTTTTTAAAATTATATTTTAAAACTAGGAGAGAATAAAAATATATATATTGCAGCCTTAATTACCCAGTTCTGATAGAGTGACTGTAAACTTAAAGTTCTGTCACTAATTCCTGTCTTTTATGGAAATTCTAAGTCAGGATTAAAAAAAAACAAATACCTGAGTTTTCAAGTCCAAATTTCTGTTTCTGTTGTTTCTGTTCTATTTTTCAGATTTTTTAATTATTTAGGTCAAAAAGGGAGATAAGTTGGTAAAGTACGAGGCCACACGTATATTCGAGATTTAAAACTTTTTCTAAACTCTACAACAAGTGATTTTTAAAGAGATAAAGTATGGAATCAGGGAGAAGAGAGTCAGAGGTGTGACCTTGATTAAAGAATTTTAATCTAATGCGAGGATTGATCATTTTTTTAAGGTGGCCTGTAATCTGATAAATCAAAGAGGTAGCCTGTAGTGCTGGGATTTTGACCCTAACCTGGGGGTTTAAAGAAAAGGTCAGAGGTCAGACCCTGGTCAGCATTATAGATCAGATTAATGATTTCAATCTTATCTTTCCAAATCAAAATTTTGATGTAGCATTAAAACTATGCAATCTCAAAATTGAGTCAGACCTCACCTGACCTAATGCTATCAAGCCATTTTTCCTTAGAATTTCAAGATTTCTGCCAGAAAAGCATGTTTTCCTCTAAATTCAGAGTAAAAAATTGTCATTAAAAAGTCCGGTATTTGATTTGTAATTGGAGTAACTGAGGATTCGGAGTAACATTGCTAATGATAATCTGTAAATTCCAAGTCAGATTTCACCAAAATAATAATAAAACAAATCTGATAACATAGAATAACAAATCAGAATTCTATGAACAAAAAACCTCCAAAGGTTTGTCTGTAATCCTGAAATTCCTACTTTAAGTCCAACAAAAGCCCCAGATCAGGATAAGGAATTCTGACTCTGATCCTCTTCCGTATGTTCTCACTGGAAAACTTTCTAATACTGTTGCCTATAAAAAAAAATATTTGTGCTTAATTGAATAACACGCATGTCTGCAGACTCAACTGGTGTGATGCTGTGACATTTTTTACTGTGACCTCTGACCCCTCCACCCCTGCAGTTTTAATAAGGGGGCTGCCATCAATCACTGTCACATCCGGGGCGTGGAAGCAGAATAAGTGGTACTGCTTTAACAACAACGACACAACTGTGGACAAACAGTTCACACACACAAACTCCTCTCTTTTCATTTGTTGTCAATATTATTATTAATAATATTTGTTCTGTGATTTCTCCAATGACCTGTTCTACAAACCTTTGATAAACCAGCGATAGGGAAGGGATTGTTTTTTCATTCATTTTCTCAGAAGTTTGAATGGAATTTTTGTAATATTTAAGAAGTATTTAAGACTATATTTTATGCACAGAAGTCAAGTGTAAATGCTCCTTTGAAGAGTCAAGTCCCTGGAGACACTAAATGTCCACACTGACAGGTTTTCACCCTGTAGGATTTGTACATGTATATATTATATATAAGGAGAAAAAAAAACCTCATTGTACTGATACTTGTCCATGTTGTGTAGTTTGAATTCATAAAAGGCAGGCAAAAAAAAAAAAAAAGAAAAAAATGAAATGATGTTGTTTTTGTAAAATTGTAATTTATTTGCTGTATCAGTGTTGTACTGGAATTTACAGAAACACCAAAGAGTATTAATGATAATAATAATATCAGTTTTTGGTGATGCTATAGTTCCCTGCTGATGTTTTTTGTACTTTTATGGAAAATGTTATTCTATTTTTTATTATTTTTTTCCATCCTGGTGTTCTGTAAAGGTGAGAAAATACTGACTTGAATAGACTGTGTAATGTGAAAAGTCTTTTTTTTTTCTGGCATGCCTTTTTAGTGATTTGTCTTTTTCGTCAAAGTGCATGGTGCAGTTGGATTAAAAAAAGATAATTCAGTCTATTATTGTGATGTTAAGAATTAAATTTATATAAATATGTTGATAAAAAATAATTAAAAACTACTAGGACCTAATGTTATGATTCATGACTTGATGCTTGGCCTGCAGGTCCGGAGGAGGATTTTGGCCACGTGGAGATTTTTTTTTAAAGAATATTTTTAATGATTAGATTTAATATTTGATGAATACACATATCCACCTTACCATAAAGTGATGATCAGTTTTCCATTTTTTCCAGACTCTATATGAAGAGCTCTGACCCATCTTCAGCTCAGCATTTTTTGTCAAAGTATTATTATTTTTATCACAAGATAGATATTAGATGTTCTTGTTCCAATTTTTTTAACTATTTCAAATATTAGCCCTAATTTCAAGATATCGTATCAAATTAGTATGCAACTCACACACACATATGCATATATAAAATGTATATATAATCTTAAATGTCTGAAAGACTAGAGTTAAAATCAAAACGTATCATTTTAAAAAATCAATTATTAAATTTAAACAATCATTATTATTCTCTGTCATTAAATGTATTATTTCTGGTCATTAAATTCCAAATTTGACTTAATTATTGCGATCTTAGTGGGAAAGAAATCGCTGTGGCCCTGACCCTGCTCTGTAAAAACAAGAGACCCCCTGTTAACGCAGGTGGAGCAGTGTGTACGCAGATGTGTGTGTGTGTGTGTGTGTTTGCTGCTTATCCTCACATTTGTGTCCCACGTCCTCCCACAACTGGGCCCTGAACAGGCCCAAGAAGGCTGGTATAAAGTAATCAGGGAGCTAATGGGAATACTTACAGCCCCGTCTGAATGGAGCACAGAGGCAGCACAAAGCCGGCATGAATCATTCATGGGAAAAAATAAAAGATAAAAAAGATAAGTGACAATAAGTGAGGGCCTTGTATGGAGTGTATAA